TTACAAGTCCCTTCAAGCCAGTTGAGACTATTGTCCTCAGTGTTGATCATCAGTGTAACGATGGATGGCAATCTGAAGTAAGTCTGTCATTTGATAAACCAGAGAAGAAGATACATCTGTCTACCAATCTCAGAAATGCTGATGATATTTTGGCCACACTTGCTCTCAAGACTCCGTTTAAAGCCTTTCCAGCCTTTAATGCCAGATTTAACCACAAAACACCAGGAGAGGGACTATGGGAAACTGAAGCTAATGTTGAGTATGCACCAGGAAAGGACATCACATTCAAGGGCGACCTTCAACTTGCTGATTCCTACAAGGGATCTCTGACCTTCACATCTCCATTTGCACCAGTCAGCAAAATCCAGGCTAGTTTCAACCATGAGGGTGAGCCCATGAACTTCCGCTCAAGTGCTGAAGTGACCCATAACCAAAGAAACAAATTCGGTATCCTTGCTGATTATGAGGCATCCTACGGGTTTGGTAATGTTAAGGGAAGCATGACTTTGATGACCCCCTTCAAGCCTGTGGAAAACGTGAAGCTGACCATTGGGCATAGAGGTCATTTGAAGGACCTGAGATCCAACATTGCATTGACTTATGCTCCATCAAAGAAAATGGAAATGACCGTCGTCTTCAAGCATGCTAGGACCACTGAAGCTAAACTTGTCATGAAGACTCCATTCAACAACTTTGAGAATATGGAGCTCGCCTTTAGCCATGCTGGTCTACCTATCCAGTTCCAAACCGAGGCTGGCCTTATTACATCCTATCCAGGGTGGAAGAAGTTCAATATCAAGGTAGAGAATGATGCCACCAATGACATACGCAGTGCTCTAATCATCCAGACTCCGTTTGATGACTACAAATCAATGACCCTTGAGTTCAGTCATCGTGGACAGATGAGTGATTTTGAAACCAAGATTCTTGCAAAAAAATTGCCAGGAAACAAGCAGTTTACTGGAGAAGTAAGCAACAGAGGAACCTTGTCCAACTTCAATTCCCGGATGAAGGTTACAACTCCATTCCGTGGCTACGATGAATTTGCTCTTGATGCCACCCACCGTGGAAACAAGTTGACCGACTTTGAGACCCAGGTAGGACTAACTACTGCTGTACGTGGTTTTGAAAAGTTCACCTTCAATGTCAACAACATGGGCTTCATGAGAAAATTCAGCACCAAGGTAGAGACTCCATTCCGAGGCTATGATGTATTCACCATTGACATTTCAAACACTGAGGATTTGAGGAACTTGAAAATTGCTGGTAAGATAACAACTCCAGTTCGCAACTACAGAGAGTTCACCTTCGAGGTTGCTAATGATGGAGTGCCAACTGATTTCACATCCAGTGCCACCATCACCACCCCAATTTCAGGATTTGAAAGGTTCAACATCGAGGTCCAACACCGTGGTTCCAAGATCGTCAACTTCAACAGCAAACTGACCATAACCACAACCATGGCCAAGTTTGACAAGGTTGCCATTGAGGCAAGTAATGTTGGCATCCTGAGAAACCTGAGAGTCAAGGTTATTACACCCATCAGAAGTCACCGTGAATTCAATGTGGAAGTGAACAACAATGAGGACTTGAACAATTTGAGAGCAAATGCCAAGATCACAACTCCATTCCGAAGCTTCCAAGAGATGTCTGGGGAGGTTAAACATACTGCCACACCACAGGGATTCAAGTCAGAAGTGAGTGTGATGACCCCATTCCGCAACTGGGAGAGGCTCTCTGCCTCAGTCAATCACCAGATGAGCTTATGGAGACGTATTGACTCTACTTGGATTGTGAAGAGAAACAATGAAGAGATTTCGCTGGAGATGGACCATACCATGCAACAGAATGACATCAACAGCAAAGTCACACTGAAGACTCCCATCAGCAAGATGGCTGAGACCTCTCTTGAATTGACCCACAGAGGAGACATCAGCGACTTTGAAAGCAAGATGATTCTGAAGACCTCCATTCCCCAATGGCAAGAAATGTCTGCTGAGCTCTCCCATAACGGAAATCTCCGCAAATTCAATACCAAGGGCAACTTGAAGACTCCAATGAGAATGCTCAGAGATATGTCTTTTGAGATTGATCATGAAGGTGACCTCCAGAAGTTCAATACTAGGGGCAATTTTAAATCCCAGATTAATAGGCTCCGTGATGTTTCTTTCACCCTCAATCACGAAGGAAACCTGAAAAAGTTTTCAACCAGTGGCACGCTAGCAAAACACTCCTTTGACATTACATTTGATGCTTCCTCCCCTGATTTGGACCTGACTATCACACTTCCGGCCCTGAGTCTGGAGGAACTGAAATACGTGCACAAGGGCCCACTGAACGGGTTCACCTGTGATGGGAGCTTGAAGACCTTTGGTGCCTACCCTGAGATGAGTCTCAAACTGAAGCACAATGGCAACCTTAGAAGATTTAAATCAGAAGGTGAATTGAACATCCCAGAAAAGCAGTCTTTCGACATTTCTTTCACAAAGAGCACATCGCAGCTGAGTGCTGAAATCAACTTGCCAATCTTAAAGATTCACAGTGCCCAGCTCACCCACAATGGACCCCTGACCAGATTCACCACTTCTGGCAGTCTTCGAACTGGCTACAGTGGCATGGAAGATCTCTCATTGAAATTGGACCACAATGGCGATCTCAACAGTTTTACAACCAAAGGAGAATTGAACCTTCCAGAGAAGCAGTCATTTGATGTTTCCTTCTCCAGGAACACTCCCCGATTGACCCTCGAGGTCATTGTGCCAGCCCTGAAGATCAACAGAATTCAGTACACTCACGAGGGACCACTAGCAAGATTTACTTGCAGCGGAAGCATGACAACTGGCTTCATGGATGACCTCTCTTTGAGTTTGGAACACAATGGCAGACTGCAGAGCTTCAATACTAAAGGAAGTGTGAACTACAAGGGAGAGCAGTCTTTGGAAGTTGCCTTTGACAAGCCAGCCAAGACAGTGGACATCAAATTGGAATTGCCCGCTTTGAGTGTTGAATCCTTCACTCTCCACCATGAAGGTTACATCCGCAAATTTACAACATCTGCTAAACTTAGATCTGGCTACAACAACTTCGAGAACATCGACATTGACCTTAATCATGCTGGTAACAGAGCTCGATTTGCTTCCAAGATTGAAGTGAAACTGCCAGAGGTGCAGTTCATCGACATCAAATTCAACAAATTTACCGACAAACTCAACTTCAACATTGAAGTACCAGCCCTGAAACTGAGATCTGTAGAGTTCAAGCACACCGGTCCTCTTACCAAGTTCAACACCTTACT